GGCGCCACCCGCCCCGCCCGTCCCGGCGCTCTCTCGCGCGCACGCGCCTCGCGGCGAGGTGAGGCCGGCGCTGCCGCGCTTCCGCCCGTCTCCTGGCGCGGCGTCGCGAGGAGAGGCGGCCGGCAGCCGGGAAGCGGGCCGGGCCGGGCCGGGCCGAGCGCGGCGTTCGCGGGCGGAACGGCGAGGCGCCGGCGCGGGAGGCCCACCATGAGGCAGAAGAAGAAAGGTGCGCTCCGCCGGCAGGGGTTGCCTTCCCGGTTGCGTCGGGCTGCGGCTCCCATCCTCCCCAGCCGCCAGGCGCGGCGCACGTGGGCCGCGGACGATGGCTCCGGCGCTGCAGCGCTCCCGGGCGGCCGGGGTGAGGCGGCGGCCTGGCCCGTGGGGTGCAACAGCCTGGGTGTCTGCGTGCAGGGGGCCTCGCGTGGTCGGGGATGATGGGGGTTGAACTCTGCAGGGGCGGGCCGGGGGCGTCGTGGGCTCGGGGCTGCACGCCCCGAAGAGGTCCCGCGGGCCGGGGGCTTCCCGTCGCCGCCCGACGCCGCCGAGCGGCGGCGGGGCAGAGCCCCCGGGGGCCGGCGGCGGGACCCCCGTGCTGGGGCGGGTGCGGGGGTGGCGCGTCGAGGCTCGGGGGCCGCCGGGGCCCGCGAGGGAGGAGCTGGCGAAGCTCGGCCTCTGTTGCAGGGGAGCCCAGCCGGGCGGAGCGGATGATGAGGACGGTCGCGGACGTCATCGGGCAGCTCATCGAGGCGCACGAGCAGGGCCGGGACGTCAACCTGAACAAGTAGGTCCTGCCGCCCTCGCCCCCCGGCCCGCGTGGGGAAGGGGCCCTTTGGCGGGTGCGTGCGGGGCGGGCGGCATCCCTCCGCGGCCCCAGGGGCAAGGCTGCCGCGACGCCGGCGTAGGAGGGCGCAGCGCAGCCTTCAGTCCCCAGCTCATCCCCCGGGATCACGGGCAGCAGGGCTGGGAGAGGCCCGGCCTGCGATCCTGCCGCGCCGCTCCGCAGCCCACTGGGTCACCCTTCCCAGCCTAGCACCCTCAGGGCAGGTTGGACTGCTCTTCCCATCATCCCTAGCCAAGGTGGCCACTGGGACTGTGAGAACAGCTGCGCTGGGTCAGGCCTGGTCCGCCCAGTCCAGAATTCTAGGCGCATGCTGCCCCACTAGCTGCCCGCAAGCAGGACGTGAGCATGACCGCTTCCCTGTCTCCCATGTTCCCCAGCACCGGGTGTCCACAGGCCTGCCGCCTCTGGCAGTGTGGGTCCCATGCAGCCATCAGAGGTCACTGACAGCCTGATAGGCTGGACATGCACATGGTGGGCACGTCGTGAGCGGAGCCGGCTGGAGCTGGGGGTCAGACTAGATGGCCCGGGTGGCCCCTTCTGACTCGCTCTGTTTCTGTATTATTCACATAGATTTCTCAAGTCCTTCCTTGGTGCAGTTCAGAGTAGTGGCCATCCCTTGTCTTGTGAAAGTGAATTCCCTAGTCCAACTCCGCACAGTGTGCTGCCCTGAGTCTCCCACTGATCAGCTTCCAGGGATGAGCCTGGGGGTTCTGGGATTATGGGAGTGGGAGGGGAAACCTTCCTCCCCCCACGGGCAGCCCCAAGCCGCTGTTCCCTGCACCTCACGGAGCCCTGGGGAGTCTGCCCGTTTCCCCGCCCTGCCCAGCCGTCGGCAAGCGGGCAGGGAAGGGACCCCCCCCCTTGCCCGCTTCTGCGGAAGCAAGAACTTGAGAGGAGCCGTCCAGCCCCTGGCCTGGAGGCGGGCGACCCACAGGGCGGGTGGGAGCACAGCAGCGCACTCCTGTGCAGCCCAGGACTGGACTGGCTGGGTCGCTGGGGGTGGGATCGGATCGATTGGCAGTGGGCATCTGGCCCAGCGTGCCTGCCGGACGTTTCTCCAGCTGGCCCCTGAGCCCATGTGCCCCGGCTCAACTGCACCACTCTCCCCGCAGGATAAAAACAAAGACAGCCGCCAAGCACGGTCTGTCCGCACAGCCCCGCCTGGTGGACATCATAGCTGCTGTGCCCCCGCAGTATCGCAGGACGCTGGTGCCCAAGCTCAAAGCGAAGCCCATCCGCACGGCCAGCGGGGTGAGTCCTCCCTTCCGTTGCCTGCGCAGGATCCTGCGCCGGGTTACGCAGCTCCTCATGTCGGAAGGTCCGGGGGTTCGGTGGGGCCTAGAAAGCCACTTTCAGTGGGAAGGGCGAGCTGCTCCCGGCCGGGACGCCTTTGTGGGGCAAACCACCTGCAGAAGAGCCTCTTGGCAGCTGTCCGGATTCTCTACCCTTTGGATCCCAGATTTCATTTCATTGGTCACTGGTGCGCAGTGCTTGGTAGACTGGACTTAACGGGGTCTTCTTAACATATGATTTCATTTTTCTCTCTCTATTTCATTTAAATTTCTTATTGCTTGCTTTTATGAAGTTTTAATGCTTTCATTGGTGTATTTGATGCCATCTTTAAAAATGCTGCAGTGAACTGCCGAGAAGGCTTTGGCTGTTGCACGGCACCGAAAATAAATGAACGAACGAATGAATTCCATTGCTTAAGATCTCATTAAGCTACAGGAAGTTCAGTTTGTGCGTGCACCTATGCACGTCTCTTCAAAACGCTGAGGCCTGCTCCCACGAAAGTGGACGAAAGCGGCAACTTCAACAAAACTATTCGCTTCATTTTATTGGTTGCTTCTATTGTGAAACCGTCCCAAGATGCCAGTAGTTGGAAGGGTCATAAAAGCCACAAATAAATAAAAAATATATTCAAGTCTTTACCTTTTGCCCCTCCTGGTTAGGCAGATGGAGCAAAGGTAAAGTCTTTCCTTGGACGTTTTCAGAAGAAAGTGGGCCGGGCAGAGATATTTCACTCTGAGTACGTGTTTCCCTCGTACAGCGTAACCCTGGCATTGTGGTGTTTCTCCACAACGCTCCCTTTTCTAGATTGCTGTGGTGGCCGTGATGTGCAAGCCGCACAGATGCCCGCACATTAACTTCACCGGCAACATCTGCGTGTGAGTAGAGCCGCTGGAGCGGGGTTTCTTTTTTCAGCGCCACTCCCCATACGTATACTTCTTGCCCTGCAGCATTCATCCTTTTTGCTCAGACTTTTCCAAACTGGGGCAGAAAATTCTCCTGGATGGCTAGGCTCGGGTGTCCCAGAAGGATTTGCATTCCTTGCTTCAAAAGAAAATGTAAATGAAGCAACTGTTTTAAACATGAAAGAGAAGGTAGTAAGTCATTATTTGCCTTGGTCTGCTTAGAGGCCCGTGTGGCATTGAATGATTTGCATGCTCTGTACTGTGCCTTCCTCTGAGAAAAGTAGGACAGCATGCACACGGCATCCGCCCCGAAAGGTGTTCCCGCTGCAGCCCTTTGTGGTGGGCTGGGCTGGGGGAGAATGGCCCCCCCTCGCCCCTTGAACTCTGTGCATGCGGGCAGTCTGTCCACGGCCCCGAACAGGGGAATCGTGCGTCTTAGGACGGCAGAAGGATGATCCCCGCCTTAAACCGTGCGCCCCGTTTTGATGCACTTTTGTTTGTTTTGGAAATGCAGCTACTGCCCAGGAGGTCCCGATTCCGACTTCGAGTATTCAACGCAGTCTTACACCGGATACGAGGTACTGCTGCAGACAGGCCTTCCGTTGCCCGCATTTCGGGGCAAGCCTTCTCACCGCTGCCGGGGAGGAGGGAAGGGGCCGGGGCGAGTGCGTTTGTGGACGTAGATGTTCCGGCGGGCCATGTGGACTGAGGACCTGGACCAGCCCCGCCGGCCCTTCAGGTTGGGTGGAGATGGCCAAATGGCAGACCTCCGATCTCTGCCTTCTCAGCTGCCAGGAAGTCCAGCAGGGACGAGAGCGAGGGACAACGCCCGAAATGCCTCGGAGCATTTTGTGCGCATAGGCTGTGCTGGGGGTCTCTGGCAGGGACTCCCTGGACCCACAGAGACCACTCCCCCTGCACTGTGCAACCTCCACCAAGCAGGGAGGGCTTGCTCTAGTCAAGGGGCACACCCCCCGGGGCCTTCCAGAAGTTTTGGACCACAATGCATTCAATTTCTATACCGCCCAATACCCAGAATGCTCCGGGCGGTTTACAGCTACACATAAAAATACCGCATACAAATGCGCACAACATGAAAAGCCTCGTCAAATGTGGTTGTGCACAGCTGAGCATACAGTTCCCAGTGCGGGCTGCTGGGCTGCGGTGGTTGGACGCCTCAGCTGTTGCACTGGAGGCCCCCGGCTTGTCCGGGGCTGGACTGGATGCTTGCAGGGCCCTTCCAGCAGCGTCTTCTGGGCCTCCCTCGGGGGGAGCAGAGACGAGGGGCGCAGGACCCCCTTTGTTTTCCGTTGCAACTGGAAGATCAGCCGACCACCGCCCAAACAAGACGGCCTGTGCTTCAGCTGGAAGGGCTGCTGGACGCTGGGGCGGAGGCAGCTCCTGCTGACCCAGCGCAGGTCACTCGGATATCGACCGGGAGGCCGAGGTGTCCCTTTGGCCCATCTCGGTTAGGCCGAGGGCTTTCCGGCTGCCGTGTCCAATTACAGAATGCCCCACCGCGGCTGCCTCTCTGCGCCCGCGCCGCTCTTCCGTCAGGCCGCAGCCAAAACCGTTTCCTCTTTACCAGCCTGAGTTTTGTCTGCGGCATTTTTCTTCGGTTGGTCGCCTAGGGCTGCAAACTACCCTCTTTATCAAGGCATGTGAAAATTCTCCCGTTCAGAAAATGATCCAATCGGCACTGGGTCAGTTTTAAAACGATTGGATGGGCCCAGTCCGTCTACTGCGTCTCTCTGGGTCATGCGGCCTTTGCGGCACCCACACCTGCCAGGCTGTCAGACGTGGCCCCACATCTGCAGCGGTGGCCGTGTGGGTCTGCCGCAGCTAAGACAGCACGCTGGTATGTACCATCTTACGGATGAACGCATTTGCTACAGCACAAGCCTTGTTCCTGAGACAAATTGTTCATCTGCAATTATTTTGTTTTGCTTTTCTTTTTAAAAACGTGGCTGTTCGTAGCTTTCAAGGTCAGAAAACACCCAGGTTGCTGCCAAAGAAAGCATCACCTGGGAACTGAATGGAAGCTTAGCGGCAACTGTGTGAAAAAGAGCCTCAGGTTAGGAATATAAGAAAAACCAACCTGGATCAGACCCGAGGTCCATCCAGTCCAGCACTCGGTACACACAGTGGCAACCCAGCCGCCCACAGGATCCCCCCGCAGGATGCGGGCAAGGCCTCCGCCTGCCCAGCTCCTCAGCAACTGGCCACCTCTGATGAAGGAGGGAGCCCATGGCCAGCAAGGCTGGTCGCCACAGCCGGCCTTCTCCATGAATCTGTCACATCCCCTCTTAAAGCTGTCCCAATTGGCGGCCATCACTGCTTCCCCCGGCAGCCGATTCCATAGTTCAGTTTGTCTCCGTTGCTGCTGCCCCACGGCAGTCCAAGCCGACCCGTCCGAGGATGGTGTCACATGCTTCTTAATTGGCTTGCAAGAAGAACCGGAACCTTTTCCACCCCAAGTGCACAGTTTGCTTTTAGAGAAGCTCACGGGTCACGTTCTGGGGTTATTTTAGTCCCAAAGTCATGTCCAACCCATCGCGACCCCATGGACAACACTCCTCCAGGCCTTCCTGTCCTCCACCATCCCCTGGAGTCCACCAAACCCCACTCCCACTGCCCCAGTGACCCCATCCAGCCACCTCATCCTCTGCCGCCCCCTTCTTCTTCTGCCATCTATTGTTCCCAGCATCAGGCTCTTCTCCAGGGAGTCCTTCCTTCCCATCAGGTGGCCAAAGTGTGTGAGTTTCATCTTCAGGATCTGGCCTTCTAAAGAGCAGTCAGCGTTGATCTCCTCTAGGACTGACCGGTTTGATCGCCTTGCGGTCCAAGGGACTCGCAGGAGTCTCCTCCAGCACCACAATTCAGAGGCCTCAATCCTTTGGCGCTCAGCTTTCCTTATGGTCCAGCTTTCACAGCCATACATTGAAACTGGGGAAACCATAGCCTCAACTATACGCACTTTTGCCGGCGTGGTGATGTCTCTGCTTTTTAGTATGCTGTCTAGATTTGCCATCGCTTTCCTCCCCAGGAGCAAGCGTCTTTCAATTTCTTGGCTGCAGTTCCTGTCTGCGGTGATCTTGGAGCCCAGGAAAATAAAATCTTTCACTACCTCCATTTCTTCCCCATCTATTTGCCAGGAAGTGATAGGACTGAATGCCATTAGTTTTCTTAATGTTTAGTTTCAACGTTCAGCATTGAGTTCTGGGGTTAGACGGTGCTGAAAGCAAAGTGGGCAGGAGTCCTACAGCCAAAAATGCAGCCAGCGCCAGAACTGTTATCTTAAACAACTCCTCCCGGTGACTCAGGGAAAGCATCCCAGCCTTTCAGAATGGGGAAAAACGGTGCAGAAGCTATGAAAATACCAACGCATCTCTGTTTGGCACTGCAGGGGGCAGCAGGAGGAAATAGGGTCTCTGGGCTACTGCAGAGGGCTGCGTTTGGTTCCCTGGAGGAGCTCCCCTTCTGAATGCATCTTTACCGGTCACAAAAATTCCTCGGTTTGTCCGCCAGGTGGCGGCACAGGTGTGCCGGAGTGGGAATCTCCTGGTGGCTTTGGTGGGGCAGGGCCTGGAACGGTACTGGGAGATCCGGAGGGCATGCCGTGGGATGGTGATCCGCTGCTCGGTGTGCTGGGGCTTATTTCTGGTCCGCTGAGCAGCGCCCCTCAGTTCACGCACCCTCTTTTGCTTCCCGAAGCCGACCTCGATGAGGGCCATCCGTGCCAGGTACGACCCGTACCTCCAGACCAGACACCGAGTCGAGCAGGTAAGTGTTTGCTGGCAGGGTGCTGAGCGCTGGTCGTCTGCCTCTGGCCTGGCCTGACCTCCGAGAGCCATTTGCTTGGCAGATCCGGTTGTTTGTTGCCTGTTCGAGGCGCATACCGGGAACATTGAACTTTTTAATGTCGCCGTTCCTCCCGACACACAGAAGGGCCAGTGCAATGGCAAAGCCACCCGGCTGAAAGAAAGAAAGAAGCGACACGCTTCGTCCCCTCTGCGGAAGGCCGACAGAGACGGGAAATGAGGAGTGCATAGATCTCGTGGCCCTTTTTGCTATATATAGCCTATTAAAATTATTAGTCACGATGGCCAGCGCAAATGAGTAGCTTCCATGGAAAAGGTTAATGGTGCGGAAACAGAAGACTGGAAGTGCGTAATGTTTCCTTGAGGTTATAAATATGAGACCTTTGTCCAGCCAGGGTTCAAGAACATCCCAGTTCATCAGTATGGATCCATCATGTACTGAAATGATGTCTCAGTGCAGCGCTGAACGGGCAGAGCCTAAATTCTGCAGGGGGGAGGTGGGCACCACCCTTTGAGGCTCCGCTTATGGGTAGAATTGTTCCTAGAGGCCCCGCGCGACCTTGCTTGCCCACATTTACTTCACGTAACCTGCTAGTCAGCACTGATTATCTTTGCTCATTTCCATTGCTTTATAATTATTATTAACTTTATAGCTCCCTAATTTGTTTATCTATTTCTTTGGAGAACTTATATGCCGCCCCATTCACATAAGCCTCGGGGCGGCTTCCAAACCATAAATAAATACAATCAATACAATTACATAAAACATTGGAGACATCCTGGAAAAAATTGTTAAAATCAATCAATAAAAAAAATTAAAATAAAGTTTAAATAAAAAGGTCTTGGCCTGGCGCTGAAAAGCAAATAACAGCGCCAGGCGGACCTCTCTGGAGAGCGGGTTCCATAGATGGGGCGCCACCACAGAGAAAGCCCTCCTCCGAGTACTCACCCTCCTAATGTCTTTCACGGAGGTTTTCCGGAGAAGGACCTCTGCTGCCGATCTCAAGGGGCGGGAGGGCAGATATGGACGTAAGCTCTCCTTCAGGTAACCAGGTCCCAAGCCGTTAAGGGCTTTATAGGTGATAACCAGCACCTTGAATTGGGCCCGGACTTCAATGGGGAGCCAGTGAAGCTGACGGAGGACTGGGGTTATGTGAGAGTAACGCCAAGTCCCCGTCAGCAGCCTGGCTGCTCTGTTTTGCACCATCTGAAGTATCCAGACCGTCTTCAAGGGCAGCACCACGTAGAGCGCGTTACAGAAGTCTAATTGGGAAGTAATAGCCACAGCTCTGTATTATTCTCGGTGCAAAAGAATTCTGGCCGTCTTTGCCTTATCTGTCAGGAGTTCCTTCCAAAATCTGTTGGTCTCTCCGTTCGGTGGTTGGTACCATCTTGAGGGATTTTTCACAACAACTCTCGTAAAGTTATTAACCATGATACTCTCTGGTGAAGAGTAACTGAAGAAATACCTTTAGGGAGCAGCCTCTGCGTTCCTGGAGCCCCGTGGTGCAAGGGCTGCTGGAGAAATTTAAGAATTCGAACTGAAGCTATTCCTTCGAGGCCAAGCAGAGGGCAGGGGCTGCTCAGGGAGTCTCTTCCTCCGCGGTGGTAAGGCAAGGCTGCTCTCAGAAATGCCATTTAGAAAGCAAACAGAAGTAAAAAAATTAATGCTTCAGACAGTGGATGCCTGGATTGGGCTTTGCATTGCGGTGCAGAAGGAGGGGTCGGCTTTCCTTGGGGGTTCTCCTCTTCCTCCCCGCCCCGCTCTTGGTTTGTGCGGCGTGTTGGGTGATGGCAGCAGCTGGCTGTTGTGTCGTGTGAATGCGGACCACTTGTGCAGGGGGGCTTGTTGCCCGGCGACAGGCCGCTCTGTCGGGGCTGCCGAACTGCTGGGTTCTCGGGCCGCCCAGGCCGGGGGAAGCCGCGAGCGAGTGCGTGTCCAGCAGCCCTGCTTAGCTCTGCTTCTCAAGGGAACCGGCGCTTCGAGGGCATTCGGTGTTCCTGAAAATGGGACGGGTCACACTTTCCCATTTCCCAAGCCCTTGGGGGTTTGGGAAAAGGCAGAAAAGTGCAAGAACACCGAGAACAGTCGCGTCTAATGAGAAAACGCACTCCCCAGAGAGGTCCGCCTGGCGCCGTTGTTGTTTGTTTTTCGGCGCCAGGCCAAGACCTTTTTATTTAAACGTTTTAATTAATTGTTAATTTATTGATTGATTTTAACTTATTGCCTGGATGTTTCCAGTTTTATGTATTTTTTATATATTTGTATTGTTATTTATTTGCTGGAAGCTGTCCGAGGCTTATGCGAATGGGGTGGCATACAAGATCCCCAAATGAATGAATGAATGAAAAAGATAATCTCGCTGCAAAGGGGGCATCTGTTTGCCACCCCCTTTCGTGAGCATTTGCACACAGATCTCTGCTTTCCTCTGACTGCTCACCTTTTGGCTTCTCTCAAGGGGGCTCAAAGTTTGCCGCCTCTTCGGGTCCGTGTCCGAAGTCGGTGCCTGCAGCAGGCCTGGGCGCAGACCCCTCCGGGGCCTTTGCCCCAGTGAGGCTCCCCCCCTCGGCCCCCCATGAGCATGAGACTCTGCACTCACACAAGTCCAACTAGAGGAAGAAAGAGAGAGAGGAAATTTCTTTGCCTCCGGATCTCTTGTGCTTCAAAAATGTGGGGTGGCGAACCAGTGAGTGCCCTCCGATGCGCCCCTTGAGCTCTTTGGAGGGACGGTCACTGGCTGCCAGCTCTGAAATCACCAGTGGGGAATGGTAGGGGGGGTCCCAGTGTGTGGGGAAGGATCCATGACTGCAGTGGGGGGAGCAGACAAGGGGGCTTTGGCCCCCGCGTTCTCTGGGACATCGGAGGCGAGCACCTCACGGCTTACCGATTTTCCTGCAGCTGAAGCAGCTGGGCCACAGCGTGGACAAGGTGGAGTTCATCGTGATGGGCGGAACGTTCATGGCCCTTCCCGAGGAATACAGGGATTACTTCATCCGGAACTTGCATGACGCCTTGTCGGGTCACACCTCCAACAACGTGGCCGAGGCCGTCAGGTAGGTGCCCCCCGTCGCAGAGCCGGGCCTTTGGTGTCGCGCATCGAGTCGGTTTTCTTACACCGGGAAGTCGCGTGGCGTGACAGCAAACTCGAGGAATACCGAGGAGGTGCATTTATGTTGAGCGTCCCCAGCTTTCCAGATGTGACTGGGCTACGGTTCCCACCATCCCCAGCCAGCATTTTTCTGGGGATGATGGGAGTTGTAACCCAGCCCATGTGGTTGGCACCAGATTGGCTGATTTTCAGGAAAATCCCTCCAGCCGTGAGACCATAGGCTGCTGTGTGACCATCTTTGGGTGCTGGTTTGCTGTTCTTTTGTCGGCTTGTAGACAGTGTGGGAGTTTGAGTGAGCGGAGACAGAGGAGGACGAAGCCCCTGTGCCCTCCGGTAACCGTGACAGAAGGAAAAGCACGCGAATGCTTCTTGCTAAAGGCGAGAAGACTGAGAAAAAAGAACGCGTCTTAAAATGAGCATCTTAAAATGGGCGCATTCTGCTCTTCCCCCAAAATGGTGAAAAGAGGCTGGAGAACGGCAGAACCGCATGGCCGGATGGGTGATTTTGGGGGTGGGGGGTGAAGAGCCGAGGCAGCGCGGTGAAGCCCCAGGGTTTCTTGACAGGTGGCCGTTGGCGGGACGAGGAACGGCCCATGCCGGTGTCCTTGCTGCCTAAGACTGGTGAGCGTCTAACTTGACCCCAAAACCAGCCTCCACGCTTGAAGGTTGGAAAGTGGCCAGTTGTAACCCTGAGTTTTAAGAGAGATCCAGAGGGAATTATTAGAGAATTTCTTTTTTTTTTTTAAATACGTTTTATTTGAAATTATAATCCTAAAAAAACAAAAAAAAGCTACAAACAACATCCATCATCAAAAACATCGAGCCCTCTGGGTCAGCCCCCACACCCTTCTTTTTCCTTTTATGAAAACTTTAAAAACGTATTTAAATCTATGCGAAGTCCCGTTTCTCTAGCCAAAAATAAAGAGTCCCAAGTTTGATAGAAGTCAGTATCTACTTTCTCCTTCAGTGATAAAGTCAATCTATCCATTTCTACACAGTCCAGGATCTTTTTTAGGATCAGTTCATCAGTGGGTAGTTCCTCACTCTTCCAGTGTTGGGCGAATGCAATCCTCGCCGCAGTGATTACATGCAAAATCAAATACATTTTTTGTTTACTAATGTCCTCCGGTATAACGCCTAATAAAAAAACTTCAGGTTTAAAAGCTAAGCAGTTTTGTAACATTTCCTCGAGCCATTTATGCATTTTAATCCAATACTTTTTCGCTTTATCACAAGTCCACCACATAGGATAAAAAGTACCCAATTTATGTTTGCATTTCCAACATCCATTTGACATATTTGGAAACATCTTGGCTAGTCTATTTGGCGACAGATACCATCTATAAGAATTATTAGAGAATTTCAACCCACATATAGCATGGGCTTCCCCATCCACAAGGGTTGATAACAGAAGAAGATGGTGCAGAATTTGATCACGTCTTGCTGAAGGAAGGTGACCATGACGTCCGCCAAGCTGAGTCCTGCCTCATCGGGTGGGGGGGCTCGTCGTGGCAGCTGGAAGGTGGCCCCTTTTTATCCTCACAGTAAGACCCCCTGGGAGGCAAACTTCCAGGCCGCGCTCCAGGTCTCTTGTGCTTGCTGGACTCCCTTCCCACCCTCAGCCCTGTCCAGGAAGCGAGCCCAGCCAAGATTTCTTTTATTTTTAATTACTTATTTAAAACTTTGGTATACCGTCCCATCACTGACATCTCTGGACGGGTCACAATAACAGCAATAAAATAAGATAAAGAAATAAAAGTAGCACAGTATCCAATAACAAATATAAAAACCACAAATTAAGACAATTGGCAATTAAAATCATGGGGAAATAAAAAGGTCAAGACTACACAACTCGGGGAGGTGAACAGCCCCTTTCTATGCCCCAAGTGCGCACTTCTTGACGCAAAGTACACCAACCCCGCGAGTCTTGCACGCAGAAGCTTGCACGGTGGGTGTGTGGAGGTGGGTGTGCAAGCAGGCCTCGCGGGCTTGCTTCGTGCTGCAATCTGTGCAGACACTCGGCTTGGGGGCAGAGAGAAGGCAGGCCAGGGAGGGGGGCCAGGGCACACGGGCCAGTTCCCTCCCCCAGACCAAGTTCCTCCCACGTGGCTGGGAGTCCACCCGCGTGCGTGGCCGCCCCGTCAGCCCTCCGGCCGAGTCGTGATGCTTCTGTTAGTGCACCGCACTCGGCACTCCCTCCTCGGTGAGGGACCCGAGACGGCGCTCAGGGTCTTCCTCCTCTCCGCTTTGGCATCACAAAGACCCTGTGAGGTGGGCTGGGTTGGCACTCAGATACTGTCCCAGAGCCACCCAGCGGCCATCATGGCGGAGCACGGCCCAGAGCCGAGATCTCCCGAGTTCCAGTCCAGCGCTCGGACCTCCACGCCGCTCGGGGTCTGAGTGCCACTCTCCCGGCCTTCTGGGTCCTTGGTCCTCTGCGCCGGGACCGCGTGGCCAGGCGTCCTTCCGCGAAGCAGCAAAGAGCCAGGCGAGGCAGCCAGGGCTGCTTCTGGAGTCGTAAGGGGCTTTTTCCTCTGGGGGGCAGCAAACCCTTGAAATATCCCGCTCGGGACGGTTCCATTCCGCTCCCCAGGTGGTGCCGCCTCCAAGTGAGGCACCCACTCTTTTTGCGCTTCTCGGCCGGCGTGGGCTGGCTCGGGCGAGTCATGCGGATGCCTCAGCGCACCCAGGAAAGCCTGGCAGCCCGCTGAGCCGAGCCGAGCCGAGCCGAGCCGAGCCGAGCCGAGCCGAGCCGAGCCGAGCCGTCGTCTCTGGGGCTCTGCCCGATCCCTTCCGGAAGGCAGTCGCTTGAAGGGCTCCGTTCGCACAGCTGGTGGTTTGTCCAAACTGCTAGAGAGCCCCACTGGAGCACGGGTTCGCCGCCGAAGGCCCCCGGTTCCACCCCATCACCTCCTGGTAGGGCTAGGAACGAATCCTGCACGACGCCCCAGAAAACGGGAGCCAGTCAGCCTCAAGCTGGGATGCAGAACCTCTCTCGGCCCAAAAGCCAGGCTCGGTTTCGGAGAGGTTCTCGGAGGCCAGTTCCGGTGGGGAGGGGGCCAAAGGCAGAAGAGGAAGCAGCCTCTGCATGTTTCAGTTTAAGGGTGGGATCCTGTGCAGGTTTAGACGGAAAAGGGCCTCGCATTCCCAGCCTGGCCCTTTCCCTGCCCACACCCGCCCAGCATCCTGCTTTAAAGCTCTGGCTGCCAGCGACCAGCCTTGCAGGATTTCAGACCCTCCAAAAGTCAGCAGACGCCCCCAAATGATCAAGGAGCGGCAGAGGGAAGGTGGGACCCACTTCGTGCTGCCTTCGTGGCACCTTTCTCATCCCAACGAGCGGATGGGGCGGTTCTTTTCGAACCAGTTGTCAGCTCGCATCTGTAAAGTGCTTGTGAGCCTCCAAAGCGCCTCCAGGAGAAGGCTTGGTTCAGCCCCATGGTCTGGGGGGGGCGGGCTGGGGGGCAAGCCCGGCCTTACACTCAACCGCTGCTTTTGGTTTACTTCTTAGGATAGATTTTAGGCGCTTTGGGAGCTAAACCCAGCTCTGGATAGGGCAGCCACTTCCTGGCTTGTGCTGCTGTAAAATAATTGGATAATAATTGTATTGTAAAAATACTAATTGGCTGCAGCAAAAAGCAGCAGAGCTGACAAGCTCAAGAGGGTTGTGACTTCCGAGCAGCAGAATCCAGGGTGGAACAAGAGACTTAGATGTTGGACTCCGTCTTCCTTGAAGGATGCTGAACAAGATTACATCGTATTTATGTCTTGCCTTGTTTCCTCTTGCGAAGAACTCATGTCAGCTGGCAGAGTTCCATGTTATCCTATTCGTTTTATTTTTAGCCACGGTTGGGTTGGGTTGAGTCTGCGACTGGCCCCAGCGCCACCCAGCAAGCTTCATGCTGGAGCCCGGATCCTCCGTCCGATTCTTCTCACCACCACACGCTGTGTGACTCTCAGCATTTTCAAGGGGTGAGCGGGGCAGGAATTTCCATGGACTCACTGTCTATGGCCTGGAAATGCTTCCCGCTGAGCTGATCAGGAAGCAGGGCTAGAGGAACATGCGGTGTAACCATTAGAGTGCTGGACTGGGGCTCAGGGGATCCGGGTTCGAGTCCCCACTCAGTCATGAAGCTCCCTGTGGGGGTCTCGGCTGGTCACAGGCTCTTGAACACCCATCGGTGCGGGTGTTCAAGGAGAGGCTGGACGTGCACATGGTGAGCATGTCGTGAGCGGAGCCGGCTGGAGCCGGGGGTCAGACTAGATGGCCCGGGAGGCCCCTTCTGACTCGCTCTGTTTTCTGTGCTTCTTGGCCTAGCCCACTTCGCAGGGCTTTGTGAGGATGAAACGGAGCACCGCGTGGCTGCAGTGACTGCCCCATGGGTGGTTCGCAGCATCCGTGGCTCCTGACTTTTGTGCATGTTGCAGGATGGGCATTTCTCAGGCCAAATATTTGCCTGCGGAGTGACCACGCGATCAGGCGTGGCCCGAAAACAGGCTATATCCAGAACGCCACTTGCCCTGCCAAACTTTATCATCACCGTCATCCTAACCGATGTAATTGATCAAAGTTCGGAGCACGACATGGCGCTGCTTTACTTCCTGAGCATGGCTTCTCGAGATGCCGAGGAAGCAAAATCGCTTGATGCGCAAGCATCACAGGCGGGCGTTTACCGTTAATGATCTGGCCTGTTTATTTTGGCTCTTGCTTCTTCATTCCCCCTTAACAAGAGCACCCCAGGACCCATAGAACCTCTCCCAGCACCCCCCCTCCCCAGTGCACTCTGAGATGTTCCGAATTTGCCCCAGTCGCAGGGTGGTGTACCTTCCCCAAAGTTAACTGACTTTTAATCAAGCCGTTGGAGTTTCCTGCCCTTTCCAAGGCTCCTGATCATAAATAACAGAAGAATTTTATTTTGGGCCAGACAGGAGATTCCGGGATGGTGC